TTTATTTTGGATGTCAACTTTTCCAAGTTTTCAGATTTTGCGGCTTTGACTTGCTTTCTAAATAGTGCGTTGACCTTTTTATACAAAACTAAATAAGAATTGATCCTAAATCTTTTAAAATTTTGCCAATAAAATTGTTTTTCGTTTCTAAGTTGTTTTAAATTGGAATTCCACCATGGTATTTTAGCTTTAACAAATGATGGCTTTGTCTGTGGGATCGCAATATTTGCTGCAGATCTAATAATTTTAGCCAAATTGGCTGCTTCTTTATTATTTTCGTCTGCTATATTGAATTTGTTATTGTTTTGTTTACAAAGTTGTTGGAATTTGACTTGGCTTAAATTTATCATATTGGAGATTTGATAGTAAGCTTATTACAATAGGGAAAAAATCACTGCCGTGCAGATTTTGAAGTATGTTCCAGGCACATTTAGGTGTGAGGCCGGCTATATATATTGTAAGATCTATGTGAGTAGAAAAATGTGTGGGAGACCCATCGTTTAAAATAACGAGGTTTTCGCTTAAAATGACGTCTTCAATAATTTTACCCCTGCTGGTGCATACATTGGAACCCCATAAAGGGTTGGCTGTGGTATTTATGGGTAGGTTGTGAAAATATCCCACAAAATTTTTAGGTATTATATTATTTCTGTTAAAAGCTATATGAGTTTCTTGTAGAGCAATAATATCCGGGTTTATATCTTTGATTAAAAGTTTTAGTTCAAGATAATTATTTATATAGCCTTTAATATTCCACTGAAGTATTTTTAACGACATAAAAACTTTAAATAAAAAGAAAATAATCTATGTAAAAAAATAAAATAAAATTTGTGCAAAATAAAACTATATGCGAATAAACATTGTTTTATATGTTTCTAATTTTGATATTGTAATTTATATTTGTCGAGTTTTTTTTGCACTTCATCATCGCTTAAAACTACTTCACTATCTTAGAGACGTGTTCTAGTAAGAGAATCTTGACTAGTAGAGAGCTTTTTTCTAAATTTAGGGATAGTTCCAATTATTGTGTTTATTGTAAAAATATTTGATTTAAGATCGTGTATTAAAGAGTTACTTTCCTCTAAGACTGCAGGTTTATGAGTACCAATAGTTGAACGAGAGACCGGTTCCAAATTTGGTTTTTTTTCTTCATCGTTGTTTGTATTAATTCTGCTTGTACTGGAAGAATTGATGGAAGATGGTGTGCTTGTAGAACGTAAGCTCGAAGAAGAGAAAGAGCTAATATTTTTGTTATTGTTATTTATTATGTCTCTTGATTGCACTTTTGAAGTTGATGCTTTAACTGGAGTGCTTGTAGAGAGTGTTGCAGTAATTGTATTATTTGAAACATTATTAGGTTGCGGTTTTTTATTTATGCCATATGAAACCACTGAAGAGAAACTGTTGCTGGAGATATTGACTGAAGGTAGTGCTTTATATAGTTGTTTTGCTTCCCGCATTGTGCATTTTCAGTTTTTTCATTGCACTTAAACTTCGAACACTTCGAGAACAAAAATTTACAAAAAATTCAAATTTACTTTCAACTTCGAAGACTTCGTATACTATTCGAATATTCGGATTCTTCGTATACTTCGTAAACTCGAACACCAACAGCACTAGTAGATATTAGTTCTCTATATAAAGCTAGTGTACTGTGATTATCTTTATAGTTCTGTTTGAGTTGAGTCTTAATTTCATTCCAACTGCCTTTAACATCATTTTCTAATATCAATCTTGCATTTCCTAATATATGTGCCTTTATATATTTGAATAAGAAATCTTTTTGATGCGTCTTTGCTACTCCTTCAGCATCATCGCAAGTGGAGACAAATGTGTAAAGTTCAGTTTTATCACTTTTGAATTCGGATATTAATTTTATGAATGTATTTATATCTATTATCTCTCCTAATTCACATGAATTACTAGGATTATCAGAATTATCTAAACTTGCTAGATTTACATAATCATTTGTTGTCATTATGAATTTTATTGAACATAAAATACTAGACGAAGTTATGATTTATTTATTATTGATTTATTTATTATTGTATTTTACTTTCGGAACATTTTTTACTTTTCACTTTTTTACGTTATGCACTTAATATTTTTATATTTTTCACGGTCGCCATATAACGCAGTTGGTTAAATAAAAAACATTTGTTGTCGTTCTCTGCCATCATCAGACTAACTTTATTTATATTTTATATATTCAACTAAGCATTTACAAATTAGTCGAATATGCATAATAAGCATATTCTCACGATAGAAGTTTGGTATAGTGCATAACGTAAATTAAATATATCACATTACCGGCACTAACTACATTATAAAATGAATGCATGTAATGCTATATCACAAAATACATATTTATGCATTACACTCTCTCGTTCGAGAGCAACTACAATACACTATTGCTTTTATGAAATTTATATTATATATAAAACATATGTTGCCTTGCTCAGCATTCTTACTGTTCCTACATATATATATCTATATATAAGTTACGGATTGTATTTCCTGTTAATAACAATTCTTCTTCTTAATAATGATTCTTCTTTATTGAATTCTTGTGATGATAATAATAACTAAACCTTAAACCTTAAACCTGTCTAAACTTTAAGATCTAAGCATCACTTCCAGTTTTGCTTCTAAACATTACCATAAAAGGCAATGTTTTACAAAAGATACATTAAAGTTATGGACTTTCGCGTCGAAATTCCCAAAAAAAATAACATTTGGTTTGCTGTTGTTTCCAAACTAAAATCTGTGTTAATTTTTACTTACAAGGTAACAAGGTAAGTCTTAACTTAAAATAAGCATAATTGACAATTAATTAATTTAATAAATAAAGTAATTAATTTTGTTAATTTGCAATTAAATTTTGTTAATAACAATTTCTGTATGAATTTAAATATTGCTGATTGTAATTTCCTTATAAATTTAAATATTGTCAACCTGGCATTTCTTATATGCTTTGCCTTTTGCGCTGGTTACTGCTGTGCTAACTTTAATGCTGGGCTTGCAATTTGCGATAAAATAGAAGCGTTGCTTCCAATTGAATAATTAAATTAAATTAAATAAGAAGTGTGGAAGTGTATGCACTACATTATATAAACTTATATACAGCTGAGTTCATTGAAATAGCAGTGCAGATGACCTACTCTTTTTAGATTGTTTAATCTTATTATAAGGACCATTTTGGGACAAAATTTTTTTATATTTGCTAAATGTGTTGTGAGGATGGAAATTTGTAATAATTTCCAACCTACATAAATTTAAATAAATTTCGAAGAAATCTGAAATTAAAATAGATGAATTAACATTCAACATAGTTATTAGAAACTACTTACCAAAAAGCCACCCAGCCTGCACGCAACACGTGAAGCAATTAGGAGAAAATAAATTTGTAATAAATAGAGAAATATATCTTAATAAAATAATAAATACATACCTTCTTTGTTCATCCCCGCAAATTTATTTAAATAATTTATTAATAAATTATTTTTTGTAATTATAAAATTAAATTATACATAATTTAAAAAAAAAGCGCACCGGCGCTTTCATGTAAAAAGTAAAAATGTAAACAAACATTTGCAAACGTCAAAAACGTCAAAACGTCCTTCGCTGCAAAAAGATGCACAAGGAAGCTTTTGGGCAAAAGTGTTAAAGTGCATTAAGTTCAACTAAGATCAACTCAAAGCTTTGTGTACTTTACACAAAAGTTCAAGAGGATGCGTATAAAAGGCGGCGCAATTTTCTAAGAATGGAGTGTGTCTTGTATGATCACTCAGTGGCATTGTATGTCAATATATAAAATAAATAAATATTAATAATTGTCTGACACAGTGGCGGTTTTAAGCCTAGATGTATAATCTATTAAAATATATATATAGTTGTTTACGAGTGCTTGGGCGGTTTTAAGTCCAGGCGCTGAGACACTTTATATATATATTCAATATAACAAGACATATATACATTCACTAACCCCGTTTCGTCCAGTAGGTACTCATCGAGCAGGATAATCACCGAAATTATACTAAGGTACAACCACGAAACTGGATCAGCCACCACTGTGAACTCTACAGGGACAGCTTCCAAATACAGCTGGTCACAAGGAAACATCTCAAGTCATATCTAATTAAATGTAACCAACCCCTTTGAAATACGACTAAGGAAATACATTCAGAATTTGCATGCGTTTAAAATCTCAAGTTATTGAAATACGATTGAAGAAATAATAATCTATATAAAGCTATCTTATATAAATCGTTGAAAATTGTACAAATAGTTAATCTCCAGGTTTATCTAGTTACGTTTAATTGAATTCTTTTCTTTATTACATATTATTTTAATGAATTATTAATATTTTAAATAAATCTGCATTGGAAATTTAACCGCCGTACTTTTATTTTGAGAAATCCTGTCTCCGCGATTATAAATTTATTGTAGTGACCCCCTGGAAAAGACTGAGGATACCCCAGCATAAATTATAACGAAACGGGAAATTCCGTGTCGTTACAGTGTTTATTTTCACATAATTGAGGCGCTAAACGGATTTGACCTATACATAGTAGATCGAAAAAAAGAGCTGCACCAATAAGAATATCAATACGTTGTGATTTATAGAATGCTAGATCAGCTAGTTGAAGATTTTTTGGAATATTCCAATCAGTTGTATTAACGTTTGTGCTGGGATGTTGATTAGTAATTTTAGAAGTAATCACTGCGGTGATGCTACTGGTGTAATTGCCAAAACGTGATTTTATGGATAACTCAGTAATGTTGTCAGCGACAAAATCTCTATCTGTAATACCTGATATTACTGTGGCACATTTTGTTGTTTTAAGTTGAAGTGTGTTGGCAAGTGATTTTGTAATAAAGTGTAATTGCGATGCTGAATCCAGAAGAGCACGGCATGGTATATAAGAGCCAGCACAATTTCTTATTAATATGATTGCAGTTGCAAGAAGCACACATTCACTTGAAGGATAATTTTGGGTTTATTGCGACGCGTTTGTTGAAACTAAGTAAGCCTGCACTTTAGATTTAGTATTTGACGTCGGATTAACTATTGGTACATCATTAGATGAAGAAAAGGTACTGTCATTAATAGGTTCATTTAAATGCAAGAGCGTGTGGTGAGGTCTTGAGCAAATACGACAAAACGAAGACTTGCATTGTTTTAATTGATGTCCCTTTTTTAGACAATTTAAACAAAGGCTGAGTTTTCTGGCTTCAGTTAGACGAAGTTTTGGAGAAAGATTTGTAAATTGACAACAGGAGTAAATGAAATGATCATCACTTTCACAAAATGTACATCCCTTTGAGTTTGTTGCTATGAACACTTTTCTGGCAATTGGATGGAGATTGATTTGCTCAGTTTTGTTATGTGCTGAAAATTTCGTGGCGTAATCAACATGCTCCAAAGTTTTACATCTTTTATCAAGAAAATCTGCCATTTGATCCCACGTATGTATTGCATCAATTGAAGCCTTTTCTTCCCATTTTGCTTGAGATGCAGGATCTAGCCTTTGCGAAACAAGATGTACTATGAGACCATCAGCAATTTGTTCCTTGCTGCCCAGCGTGCTCAATGCATGTAGGTGTGAATTCATTTTATCACTAAGGCGTCGCAGATCAACAACGGCGTTTGGTTCAACACGTCGCAACCCAAATATTTCCTTTATGTGTGCCTGAAAGATTAATCTTTTGTTATCAAATCTTTTAGATAATAATAAAAGTGACTTAGCATAGTTAGCGTCACTGACTTCAAGTGACTTTATTGCATCTAGCGCTGAACCCTTCAAACAAGATCTTAAGTGCTGAAGTTTTTCGAGATTGCTGAGTTCAATGCTTTCATCAACAATTGTTCCAAACATTAAAATGAAATGCGGCCAGTCCTTGATGTCACCACTGAAGGTCGGGAGTTGAAGTTCTGGCAGCCTTGAACGCGAGTATTTAACATTAATAGAAGGAGCCTCATCGTTCGATAGAAATCTACTAGTTGAATTTCTGATATTCGTTTGACGATGGGACAGCTCTATCATGATCGCGGATTTAATGTCAATATACTTCTGTTCAAAGTTATCTCGCACCTCACTTTCCAGTTCATGGAAGTCTTCCTGTTCGAGACTAGATTGAGCTGCGTCAAACTTAGTGTTGAGTTGTTGAAGAGAGTCGATGTAGAGTTGTAGTTGCACTTCATGGCAATTACTCAAAAATTCAGCAGACAACCTTTTTTCCAAATCCTTTAGTTGTGTTCCTAGACGTGAACATTTTAATTTTAAAAATGTTGATGCCTCTATCATATCTCCTTCCATTATTAATGTTCGTTAACAGATGCAAGTAATTGAGATCAACTACAAAAAATATAGATGATTCGCAGTCGAACCGTTTGAATGATTCGCACAACTGTTGTTTTTTTTTTGTTTTGTAAAAAATTGGTTGATGCGGCGCTGCCGACGCAAATGAAGTGCCGCAAACCAACTGTTCAAATAAACCCGCACAAAAATTCGCAACCGAATCGCGCGAGTTTTTTCTTTTTTGCAAAATGATGTAACCGAAACAAGTAAAAAATTGGTTGATGCGGCGCTGCCGACGCAGCTGTAATACCGCAAACCAAAACTGTAATGTTCAAATAAACGCACACAAAAATTCGCAACCGAATCGAGCAATTTTCAATACAATAAATGTTTTGAAAATATGAAAAAAAACATTGAAGTTTTGCACAAGTTTTTCCTCTTTTTTTTTTTTTATAAAATGATGCAACCGAAACAAGTAAAAAATTGGTTGATGCGGCGCTGCCGACGCAGCTGTAATGCCACAAACCAAAACTGTAATGTTCAAATAAACGCACACAAAAATTCGCAACCGAATCGAGCAATTTTCAATACAATAAATGTTTTGAAAATATAAAAAAGAAAACACTAAAGTGATCAACGTGATCACGTCGGGGTCACCAAATGTTGGGACTTCAAGAGTTTTTGAAACCACTAACGACAACAAAACTAGGAACGAAACGAATTTTTTAAAGAAAGGCCGACTCGTTTGAACTTTTACAAGAGACTAATTTTATTTTTAATTTCATAGTATTTTATAATAAAAAAAGGGTTGCCAACTGCAACCAAAAAATAAATAAAAAAAAATATTCCCAATTAATAATAAATTTTAATAGAAACATATAAAGCCAATCACGAACAAGGCGGTTGCTGCTGATTTGATGTCACCTTCGATGTTATTGACACCAACATATCTTGAACTTTTTCTTCTATTTCAATATATTTCTGGATATCATATCCCACTTCTATTGGATTAGAATGTATTTCCTAGATTTTAAAATTGATGACTTCAATTTCTTGCCATAATTTGTTGATTCTGTCAATATTTACTTGGTAATATGACAGAAGCTGTTGCTTGTCCATGCGTTTCACGCCATTGATGAGGCGCAATAATGAACATGATATTGCATGTTCTTTGTTGATGAGCCCTTAGATCTGTTGATCAGGGCCAATAGCTGGAACATCTGTATGCCCAACATTAAATTTTGATGTTGATGGAACAGTCACAAGCTCGACTATTTCTTCTTGGCTGAATTGTTTAATGGCCGTTACAAATTGTCGACTGTACTATTTGTAAATGTTCAGAATTTCTTTATAAGATTCCTTTTTTATGATGTCCTGGATTTCAGTATCTGTTTCAGCCTGTTGATTGATAAGGTCCTCCATGGTCATCAGATATTGTTGTTGAAAATGTTGATGTGTATATGTCACCAAATGACAATAATGATACGTGATAGATCAAGGCGGAGTCATTAAATGACAACAATGAAACGTGATAGATCACGTCGGGGTCACCAAAATGTTATGATCTGTAGGTACAGATCTAGGTAGTTTGATACCGATTTTAGCTAATCCGGCACTTTAACCAGCTTAGTTTTTACACAAATATTATTATTAGTATCTAGTCTGATATGGATTTAACTAATCCGGCACTTTAACCAGCTTCATTTCACGTACTTAATCTGGCACATTAACCAGTTGCGAATTTTATAAATATATGTTTTCTGTTGAAGGTTGTTATGAGTATTGTACTCATCACTCGAAAACCATCTCATCGTTGTTTCAGTTGTTGAAAGTTGGAAGTTAAAAGTTGAAAGGTTGTGCTTATAGATCGTTGGATTTTTTTTTTTTTATAACTTGTAATATTTGGTTTTTTTGTTTTTGTTTTTATAATTTATAAATTAATCATTTTCTTAGCAGTTAATTCCATAATTAACTTCACATAAATTATATTTTTATATTTAATATAAAAATTATATATTTTCCAAGTCACAATAACTTAATGTTGTGTTCATTTAGTTTTTAGCTTTTAATACACATAATTTAGTTTTTGAGCTTTCACTAGTAAATGGTCTTTGCCTTAGGAATTTGGTGCACATCATTTGGTTTTTTGAAGTTCACTACTAAATTTTACTTTTATGGTCTTTGCATTAGCAATTTGGCACATTATTTTATTTTTGAAATTCACTAAATTTTACTTTTATGGTCCTTGCCTTAGCAATTTGGCACATTATTTCATTTTTGAAGTTCACTAAATTATACTTTTATGGTCCTTGCCTTAGCAATTTGGCAGGATCGCCATGTAATTGTGTAGTTGTTATATTAATTAATAGAGAAAGTCAATAATGTTTTGTTTAGATCTTTATTAGTTCTGGTTTTTACATTTTAGTTCTTTAGCTGTATCTTTTGTATACACTATATGAAACACTACACAAAGACTGTCTGATAACTTACGTTCTAGTACCGAAAAAAGTTCGGTACCTCTTATATACTAAGAACGCATATATACAATACTTTGCGTTCTGCTTATTTACTTATTTACTATTGGTTATACTATTTTAATACTTATAACTATCTATGTCATAAAATTTTCATATACTTATGTCATTGGTCGTTTCGCTCACAATTGTATTCTTTACAGTGGCACACATCTGGTTACCAACTGTATTGAGGGCAACTCATATTGCATGCACAATTGCTTGCAATATGATCCCGGAAAACACTTAACAACAATTCATGAATTATATATTTATGTAGTATAAATATATTTTTAAAAACAAACGATATTTTTATATTTCTTTTAGAAAATATATTTTATTAAACATTTAAACTTTTACATAGTTATATTTAAAATTTTTATTATATTGCAAAATCACACACGAGTAAGGAATAATAACGAGGACGAGATAGCGAAGACGTGTCAAAAATGTACTGGACACACTGAGTGGTGTATTCAGTTTTTTATATGGAATGAATGACAGAATAATATTCTATTGTAAACCAAGCATCTGTGTAATTACCCAATATATAATTACCCATATTTTATGCTAGGATCGATAATTAGATGAACGTGACTTTATACCAGTATTATTTGGATACATTATCATAGAAGAATTTCTGATATAATTGGATGCGTGTTTAATGATCCGTCTTTGATGTTAAAGAGATGCATTGTTATATCTTAAATACGCATAATTAATAAACATCTATTAGTTTATTAAGCAATGGTACTATTTATTATATAAAATGTGTGACGAATTGTCTAATTAGGAATTGTCACGAACAATATTGAAATCATTCAATATCTTTGCCAGCATCTTTGCCAGTGAATGCTTTAATTGTGGCTTCAATATCTGTAAAATTCATTCATTGGCACTGATTTTTGTACCTTGTAGAAGAGGTTTCGTCCGTTGATAGATGTTGGAACCTTTTATTAAGCGCTGTTTCACAGTCACTCCATAATGGCAAAGTGTTGTAATCCAGCTGTTCTTCCCATTTTGATTTTGTGACTGAATCTACATTTTGCATGACTAAATGAATAAGAATTGCATTGGTGATATTCTTATCATCTCCTATTGAAAGAAGGAAATCATAGATGGCAGACACAGTGTCGATTGTAGTGCGCAAAGATGCAGCAGACGGTTTGTGAATTACTGGGAGATACAAAAGCTTGCTAATGTTGTCGGAAAAAATGAGACAATTGTTGTCGTACACCTTTCTTAGACTGGCTAACGCATGCTTGGCAACTTCGATTGCGGTCGACCACAGTGGTGCGAGATTGCAGGAGTGCTAACAAGGCGATGTTTTTTCAACTTTTGTAAGAACAAGGACTTGGTTGAAACACAAATATCTTCAAAAACAGCCCTATAATCGTTAGTAGGACCCAGGTCAAATATTTTGCTCTGGTATTGCATTGCTTTGTAAGAGTTAAGTATTTCCAATCTATACTCTGGCTCACTAGGACTTTTTGAAACAATGCCTTCTAGTAAATTTGCCCATAACCTTAAAATGTCAGCAACTACTGCTTCTCGATTATGGATCAAGGTATCTACCCCCTTTGGAGATTGCAAAGACTGTGATCGCTTTTTAGTAGGCATTTAAAAAAATAAATAATCGCAAGTAACAACAAAAGAGGAAAGAATTTTGTACTGAGTAAATCGACGTGCTTCACGTTTAGCTGTATTGTATTTAAGAAGTCGATATTGATATGATGTAATTTTATTTGTCATTAATATAATGCAATATAATGTGAATAATATATATTTTATTTGTTGTTAATATAATTCAATATAATGTAAATAATGTATATTTTATTTTTTATTAATATAATACAAAATACTTGTAATCAATTTATTTTTTTGTTTTAAAAAAAAAGAGAGAGTTGTAACGACACTTTTGGTGACGTTCAAAAATTTTTAGTTTTTGCTGGGGTATCCTCAGCCGTCGTCCAGAGTCGTGACAATATATTTATAATTTTGCCGAGACGTTGGTTTTAGAAGAAAACAGAACGTGATTTATATGTATAAATTATATATGTAGGTTCTAGACCTTAAGTTTATTTTAATAGTTAATTTTAAACTAATTTTAATAGTTAATTTTAAACTAATTTTAATAGTTAATTTTAAACTAATTTTAACACGCACGCACGAATATGCTTCTTTCCTCTACGAGCTGCTCACTCCAACTACTTCTTTTTACTTCCACTCACACCTCAAAGCAACGGAGTTGCCCTGCGCTCTTTTCTTATGACAGCGACGTAACTCTACTACTTTTAATTACTTTTGCGCCGCTGTCATACCTACTTTCCTACATTCGGCTATCCTGACATGTCATCCGTCCCGGATGACCCCTTAAACGCTTTCATATGTTCTGCTACTGTTTCACATTTCTTTGATCCTTCGCCATTTCCGACTCTCTCAACTACATATCTACCTCGTCTTTTCTTTTCTACTATTCGATACGGTCCTAAATATTTCTGTTTT